TGTATATATAAAACTAGCAAAAAAAACTGTGTTTGTATTGAAACTGCTGCTAAAGAAAACATAGGCTGAGTCCATTAGTTATAAATAATTCATTACAAGAAAGTATTCTATATAAAAGTTATTCCATTTGTTATTAAGCAGTATTCTACTTTAAGTAAGAGAGGAACAAAGAATCATTCCCCCATACATTCTACTAATTAGAGATTTATTTGCATTTAACAAGCTCTTCACTTAAAATGCAAATAAAATTAAATGCACTTAAACCTTATAGGGAGTTGGGATGGTTCAAAAATGAAGTTTACATAAGTGGCTGAGGACCCTGGTTGGAAAAAATTAGTAAAGTGGGCTGAAAATAATAATAATAACTATATGTGTTGTTTTACAAAGCACTTTCCATATTTTATCTCATTTGATTGTGTAGTAGTGCTGTGAGGTTATGCTGTAGGAGATATATCCATTTTTCAGATGAGAAACTGAGGCTCAGGGAGGAAGGATAAGTGACCTGTACTGTAGTCTCAGAAATTAAATTCTCCTAATTCCAAGTCCAGCATTACAAATCACTCTTTGCTGTCCATGATACTGTGTATGTGCTGCTTTATTCCTATAAAATAAGTCCTTTCTCTAGTCCTTGAATTTATGACATTCCTATGAAGGGAGAATCTTATTTCCTGCTATTTATCCATATGAGTGGGAAGAAGAAAATTAAACTGAGCTTTTTAATAGTCCTTTTGTCTTCACCTTCAGTAGCAATTCTTCAGCTTCCCTCAACTCAAACATACCTGCCACTGAAATAACCGCCTTTATCAACTGAGAAGAAAGTAGAAAAAAAGAAGTGAGTCTTTGATTGTGAGGAGAGCAGAAATACTTCTTTTCATTTAATTCAGGTACAAGTGACTAGTAGGCTTAATTCAACAGAGAATTTGGATACGGGCTATTTCATGTATACTTCAGGCTAGGAATATAGTTGCCTTTGTATTTTATTCATTTTAACACTACCTGTGTGACCTTGGGCAAGTCAACTTCTGCCTTAGTTTCCTCATCTGTAAAATGGGATAATAATAGCAGTTATCTCCTAAGGTAGTTGTGAGGAGCAAATGAATTTAATTTAAAAGTGATTATCAGAATACCTGCCCATAGTAAGCATTATATATAAATATGAGCTATTTATAAATGTCATTATTGTTTCATTACAAGAAATCACATTTAGATATCCTGTGGAATTCCTGATGCTGGGATTTTACCATATAGCATATTTACAGGCCCCAGAGTATTGTGCACTAGAAAGAGCACTTGATTTGGAGTCCATAGCCTGGGTTTGCATTCTACCATTGCTACTTGCTACCTGTGTGACCCTGAGCACTTCCAAGTCACTGTACTTATCTGAACCTCTCAGTTACTTCATCCAAAAAAGATTATGGGACTTGGTGACCTCCACGGTTTCTTCTGGCTCCTATGAGCTAATGATAAGTGAAAATAAGTCAAGAAGGCAGTAGAGAAAACTGATTCCACAAACTTCCACAGATACTTACGATGGTCATTAAAAACAATTAGTCAGCCTTTGAAGAGGAGGTAGTTACTTAGGCTTTCATCAATTCTGAAGGCCTTAAGTGTCCATACTTTCACCCAGCAGTCCTATCAAAAACCTACTCCAAGGCAAAGCATCCAAAAAGCACAGCAAATTAAATTAATTGTTCAGCACTCAATATCCAACAGAAGGCATCTCCAAACTCCTTGGCTACTAGCTGAGGAAAATGTTCTTATAATAAGCCCTCATTTCCTTTCAATAAAATAATATTTTTGTGCCAGTCTGTACATTCCATGTTAGGGGCAGTATCTTAGCTAAAGACATGGTATTCTGTCCAGGGTCTAGCACAGTGCTCTACAAGCATTATGTATGTAATAAATGTTTGTTGAATTGAACTGCATGTCTAAGCCATTTATAAACAGATACTAGTAATAAAAAAGTGAACATAGTTGTCAAATCATGCTAATAATGAAGCCTTAAAACTATTCAGTATCTAATGGAGACTTTCAGGGAAGGATTCTAGCCAGGGAGGTCAAGGTTGATTGATCTCTTGAGCTTGGGAGTTCTGAGCTGTGCAGTAAGGCTCAAAGCTAATCAGGTCGTCACACTAAGTTTGGCATCAATATAGTGAGCCCCTGGTATCAGTAGGAGCCCTTGGGTAGGGGAGGAGAAGAGGAAAGGCCTAGCTGCCTAAGGAGAGGTAAACTGTCCCATGTTGGAAACAAAGCAGGTCAGAGTTTCCATGCTAATCACCAGTGGGATTGAGCCTATGGGTGACTGCTTACACTTCTAACCTGAGCAAGATAGTGAGACCAGTAACACCTCCCCCTCCCCCACAAAAAAAAGGACTCCAGAAGTCTAGTCATCAAAATCTAGACTTTTATCTGTTACATACATTTAACTTTCTAATATCCTTTCTAGAAATTAAAAGCTGTAATGAATTACCTTTTCACTTTGAATATAATCCTCTTGAAACACACATTCTGTAGCTTTTCAAGAATATATAGTCTCATCTTAAAAGAGTTAGAAATACAAGTATTTGTTGACATTGGTATTCACTAAGCAGTATTTATTCAAATATGCTGAATATCATTTTTTATAAAATGTGGAATTTCTAGCATTTTAAAATGCTTTTCTTATATTCAAAAAACACTATGATTTACTATTTGTACATACAATTTGGATTAGGGAGACATATGAAAGAGGTACATATGTGGTCCCTACCCTCAGGGAATTTGAGTATAGTTGGAGAAACAAAAAAATTTTCACTAAACCAAACAGAAAATGAGAGGTAATGTGGTATATAATGAATAGAGAATAGCCTCTGAGGCTAAATCAGGGAGATGCCAGGTGCACTTAGGACATGGAAGTGTAAAAGGCAGCATCCTTTTTTCTATGCCTGTGGGCATGAGGTACTCTTACCAAACCACAGGAAGGAGTCTTAGAAACCTGGAAGCTTAATACCTTGATCTTACAGATGGGAAAATGAGGCACAGAAAGATTAGTTGACCTCCCCAAAGGCACACACAGCCTCAGGGAGACCAAGGCTCTCCTTACAGGGCAGAGGATGGGGCGATGTTTGACCCTGTCATATTCTTTCCAACTGGTCATGCTTTCTCCTCCCTTTCTCCCCTGGATCTTCTCTACCTGGTTCAGTCTCAGGATGGGAGGAGAAATGATTTGGAACAACAAAAGGCTCCCTTTTCCTGTACCATCTTCTCCAAAGACAAAAGAAGCCACCTTTACCTTTAGCCCAGGATGGTAAAAAATAACAATGGATTTGAAGTTAGGATGTTCCTAGGTCCTTATTTCGAGAGGCAGGGGTGACATACTCCAGACGGGCTTCGGCACAGATTTTGTGAGAGTTGTGCTCTCTATTTGCCCTTCCTCGTAGGTAAATCTGGCCTAATTTTTTCAACAGTAAAGGCTGAACAAGGGGCTGATGGTTCACAATGGACTTTGCTTCCAGATCAGAGCTTGCAATCAAGAGGAGAATCCTGCCTCAGCTAGAGGCTGACCTGGAATTCTCCTAGTGGATACCTAGAACCCTTGGGTCCCTGGCACCCTGAGCCTCAGGAGTTAGGGGCAGGTGGGACCAAAGAGTGTAAGGGCTGATATTCCAAAGGTACCATCACCAAGAAACCCACTCCCCCTCCTTTCACACAGGTGACCCCATAGTCAACATTTTTGGAATTCTAAAAACTACTGATTAATGATTTTGATGTCAGACCTGATTTCAGTTCTAATCTCTGACCCCAGAGATACCTCTAGTCTCTGACACCAGTATTGACTGTATGACCCTGGGGAGGTTACTTAACTTCTCAATGCACACATGCAACTCTCTAGGACTTTAAGTTGCAAAACATTTGCTTTGCATTGATAGAGGGAGTTTCTTAATCAGTTCCCTACACTAGTGAAATCTCAGGAATAGATCTCCCTACTTCATCATTCCCTCCACACACACATATACTCACATGTACACACACCCTAAAAAATAATGACATAACAATATATCAGTATATAGGAGGTATGAAAATTGAGAACTATATGAAAGGATGTGGAATTGGTCAGGAAAGGCTTTTTTTGAAGTAAATTTAAATGTGCAGATGAGAAATGGTGTCAACAGAGGTGTGAAGGAAGCAAGGTATAGTTAAGCAGATAGGCTTAGCTGAAGTGAAGAGGTTGTGCTGATTTTGAATTTGGAAGTATAAGTTTTGGAAAAAGGAAAAGAGATAGTTGAGGGCTATGTATATTGGCTTAACAATTTTACTTCTGAAGTAACTTAAAAAAATGAAAAAAAAAGATGAAAAGTATTTAAAAGAATAATTTGATAGCTCCGTATCAACTGGACTAACATGGAAAGAGGGCTTGGGGGTTTAGGGAAGCTATGCAGTTTCTAAGTGTATGACTATTAACTTTTGAGGGGATCATTCCCTTTCTTTGCCAGCTGTACATAAAGCATCATACTATGCAGACAAAGAGTACTTTAGCAACTGTAACAACTTATATGATATAACAGTTTTGAGTGATAAAAGAGTTCACAAATTTCTGGCAAAACAGCATCCTATCTATAAGTATCTCAACGTAGCTATCAGGTTAAAAACCAAACAGAAGCTAATGTATTGCAGAAAAGAATGATAAACCACAGTCGTATTTGTTATGAAAAAATATTTACTTTATTACTTAAGTCAAACCTTGTTCCACAATCGTAATTATGTGGAGAAAGTATAGTACTGTTATATCTGACTGAAAAAGATAAGTTGAAAAAAATGAGTAACAGTGAGACAACGAACTTATTTTTATATAAAATTTAAAACTAGAATTTCTGTGTGGTGATGGTAGCTAATGTCCCCTAAAATGCGAGTTTGTTGCTGACAAATTCATGTTTTGGACCAGCAACAGGTCTGCTAGAATTGAGCTGATTTGTGAGAACACATTATAACTATGGATTTGTTTTTTTCTTTTTCTTTTGAAGGCCATTAAATGACAAACATAACAGTGGAAATTCAGCTTTGAGTAATAATGCACCTACAGCAGTAGCCAACACGAGACAGAATGCTCCTATTCCTGTTAGAAAACCGGGACCACTGCCTTCTAGCCTGGATGATTTGAAGGTAATAATTGAAAAAAGGGAATTTATGTGGACTAATAAAAAGCAAAGACTATGACCATTTCCTGTATTTGGCAAATGAGAGTGATCTCCCTTAGAAACTGTAGACGAAATATGTTAACCTTTTGGTGGACACACATTTTCACTTCAGTGACTTTTCTTACTTATTTTTGTGTATAGGTTAGTTGAAACCCTTTGATAGTATTTTAAAGTCATTCCAATTTTGAATAGGATGGAAAAACTAGAGGAATATTATTGAATGCCAAGTTTGGCCCCGAGCAAATATTTTATTTAATGCATAAGAAGTATACACTAATATTGTTTTGATGTTTTTTAAGATCCTTAACAAAAGGATAAAATTTACTTCACAAATAATAAAGGCTATGAGATGGCCTCCATATACAAGGTGTCCCAAAAGACTTAGTGCAACTTTAAGCTCTAATAGATTAGAAACTGCACTAATCTTTTTGGGACACCTTGTATATATTTTGAAAACTATATTCTTGGAATTAGTTGTTTTGAAACATAAACAAATGCAAAGCTTTCCTGCCTAAATGAATATACTCCATTTGGTAAAAATTTGCCCAATTTGTATGTAAAAATTTACTGTAGACTTTTATGAAAACTCCAACTCCTAAAAGAAAAATAATTTAGTCTTAATATTTTGTCTCCAGGTAGCTGAACTGAAGATGGAATTGAAGTTGAGGGGTTTGCCAGTGTCAGGCACCAAGACAGACCTAATTGAACGTCTAAAACCTTACCAAGAGCTTAATAGTGGTATTTCCACTAGCAATGCTGTTGCAGTGTCCACTTCAACTGTTGTCATTAGCAATCCAGAAGTTACTATGGCATTCCCAGCTGCATTAAATAATTCTGTGGCCAGCACCATTCCCAGCTTTAAGTCAGAAACATCATCTACTGGAACAAGCAGCGTGACACACACTGAAACTATCAGCTCCCCTCTGCCAATCTCCCCATCTCCTTCGGAACACTCCAGTCTCAGTACTGATGATACTAACATGACAGATACTTTCACAGAGATTATGACTATGATGTCCCCCTCACAGTTTTTAAGTTCGTCTCCTTTGAGGGTAACAAATAGTGAAGACAGTCTAAGTCCTGCCTGTGGAGGCCTGTCAAACATGGAATTGGATGTGGCTGAAAAGGACCGGAAGCTTCAGGAGAAGGAAAAACAGATTGAAGAGCTAAAAAGGAAACTGGAACAAGAACAGAAACTTGTGGAAGTACTAAAAATGCAACTTGAAGTTGAAAAACGGGGACAGCAGCCACCCCCTGCAGCACCCCAGCCCACTGCTAATTCTGTAAATAATGTAGATCCAAAGCATGTCATTCCTGCTGTCAAGGATGAGAATTCTCTCCCTGACTGTTCTAGCTCAAGGCAATCAGTACCAGGAGCCAGCCATTCTTTAGGCCAGTCAGGATCAACTGCTGGCCAGAACCTAGTTGCCAAAAAGGCTGTAGTTATCAAACAAGAGGTACCTGTGGCCAAAGCTGACCAACAGAATATCATCTCTCAGTATTATGTGAGTTCCCAGAGACATCCGCAAACCACAGTTGTTGCTCAGCCTCAAGCTTTACTAACCACCCAAACTGCACAGCTGCTACTTCCAGTGTCTATCGAGGGTTCGAATGTAACTTCAGTTCAACTACCAGTAGGCAGTATAAAACTACAGGTGTGAAGTTTACTTTTTAACTACTCATTTTTCCTTTGAATCAAAATGAAATTTTATTCATGACAAATTAGTAATGGAGATAGAAAGTAAAAGCTTCCAGATTTCATGGCTGTAAAAAACTGGCAGGGTTATTCAAATCTAAATATTTAGGTAGCACTTTTTAAAAATAAACTTTTTTTTTCAAATCCTCCCCTTTGTTTCTAAGATCTCTTTTAAATGCATAAAGAAAGTTTCCATAGCACTATGTAGATTACCTCAGACATCATCATCTAGGCTAATCATAAATCCCATCCACAATATCTTGACAAGTTATCATCCAACTTCATTAAAATTTTTACCTTTACAGATCAAGAAAATGAAGGCCAGAGACTTTTCCAAGAATGCACAGGAAATTAGTGGCAGGGCTGAGACAGGAAATGAAGTTTTCTAATTCTTAGATTTGTATGCTCTATAGTCAGTGCCTTTGTAGTTTAATATATTTTGCATATTATGTATATACATATATACATATAATTTACATCATTATATATAGCCACTTATGAAATTAATGGCATAGACATATTACAGAGTACTCAAAAATATGTAATTATATTAATACAAGAATAGTTTAAATTTTGAATTATGGAAAAGGTGAATTGAAATTTGGGAATGAGAATGTTAAGAGACACTACTAGCTATGATCATACTATCCTCATCCATGTTTAGACATCATATTGCATTCTGTATATTTTATACTTTAAATCATTTGGATAAGCTTTAACTAAAACAGATGAACAAGATGAAATGTAAATAGTTAGGACTCAAGTATTTCCTTATAAGAAACAATGAGATTATTAAATTACTTTATCATGATTAGATCCATTATACATTCCTTTTATCATAGTTTCCTGTTTTCTCAAAAGAATCAAGTAAAAACAGTTGTTTTAGATTGTTTGTGTGTTTTTTTAGAAAAAAATAGTGAGTCCATATGTTCTAGTCTCTAGAATAGGATTTCTTAGGTAAATGTAAACAAAACCAAATTCTGTCATTTAAAACATATTTCATGTGCTTACTTGGCATATTTTGAGAATTTGTTTCCATATTCAGATCTTCATTAGCATCTATAAATAGCACAATCATTAATACTTATATCTCTTAAGCTTTTTTTTTTTAAATGATTTGTTATAAATGAGGCTCTGAAAGCACTGATTTTTCTTTGTTTTGTCTTCACTGGTTTTATCTTCACATGGTGAAATTAGTAATTTATTTTTCTTCTTCTAGGCTCCACCACAAGTAGGAATTACAACTCAGCCCCAAGTATCAGCTCCTGTATCACCCTCTGGCTTGGCCCAAACATCCCATCCAAAACAAGACAATTTTACACAACATGTACTCAACCAGTCTCAACAAATAAGAAAGGTTGGTAACTATTGATGTGGAGCAGTAGACACAGAATTGTTGTTCAGTCATTTTCAGTCATGTCCGACTCTTAATGACCTCATTTGGGGATTTCTTGGCAAAGATCCTTCTCTGGCTCATTTTAACAGAAAGCTGAAGCAAACAGGGTTAAATGACTTGCCCAGGGTCGCACAACTGTTAAGTGTCTGAGGCCAAATTTGAACTCAAGAAGATGAGTGTTCCTGACTCTTGGCCAGGTACTGTCTCCACTGTGCCACCTAGTCACCTAGATACCTACAGAATAACAACCTATTATAAAATAATGGTTATTCTAATTCTTTCATCTCCAAGAACAAGGCTTAACTCATAAAACATCTGAATCTCCAGATTACCTGAATAATTTGGAGCATGACTCTAATTGGAGAGTTGGATAGTCCTCCGGAATCTTAGTCTTTCTGCATGAAAGTACATCTTCAAATATATACTTCAATTGACTGTGAGTTTTCAGAATTTCAATTCAAGAAAGCTTTTTAAAAAAAAAAAAACAAAGTAATTTTTCTCATTAGAAAAAAAACAACCTTTTTTTTTTGTAAGTAGTAGCTTTGATATAGTGGAAAGAATTGAAGTCATTGGATCTAAATAAACTATATCCCAGTGTACTTTTAAAAAAATATTAAGTGTGATGGCTAAGCCACTATCAGCTGTCTTTGACAGATAATGAGAATAGGAAAGGTGCTGCAGGCCTAGAAAAGGATAAATGTTCCAGTTTTCAAAATAGGGAAGAGAGTGGAGTCTGGAAACTAAAGGTCAATAAGCTTCATTTTGATTAATGACAAAATTTTAGAATAAATTTTAAAGATTAGTTATCATGATTGAGTATCTAGAGATAATGATTTTTTTAAAAGCCAGCATAGCTCCATCAGTGATCTCAAAAAGCCAACATGGCTTCATCAAGAATATTTTCTTTACTTTTTTTTGACAGTGCTACTAAACTAGCAAATAAAAAAAAAATGCTACAAATATATAAAGAGCCAGATTTTAGCAAACTATATGACAATCTTTCATTTTATGATTTTGGACAAGATGGAGAGGTTTTGACTAGATCAGTAGCTAAATGGATTTGGAACCAGTTAAATGGCCAGACCTGAAAAGTAAAATTATTAATGGCTTAATATCATCTTGAAAATTGCTGTTCGACATTATCGTGAACTTAACAAATATGTAAATGACACAAAATTAGAAAGAATAACTAACACATTGGATGACAAAGGCAGATCCAAAAAGATCTTGACATATTATAGAATTTAGAATCTAGAACATAATTTAATAGGATAAATCTAATCTTACACTTCAGTTGAAGAAACTAACTTCATAAGTTCTAGATAAGGGACACAGGATTAGTAGTATTTTTTTAAAACAACCTGACATCTGTATGATAATGGCAGTCACAAAACCTAAGAAAAGCAAAACAAGACCAGAGAGGTGATAGTTCAGATTCAGCCATATCTGGAAAATTGTTCAGTTCCTCATGCATTTGGAATGGTATTTTATGAAGGACATTGGCAGCCTTTATAGCGGGAGACCAACTGGATAGGCTTCAAGAGATCCTTTAAGATCAATCCATATGAGGATAAATTTAAGGAATCAGTTTGTGTAGCCTGAAAAGGAATATGCTCTAGGAGAGGATGTGTTAGTTGTCATGAAAGAGGGATTAAACTCATTTCGCTTGGTTCCAGAGGGTAGAACTATGAGCTACAGACAGAAAATGCAAAAAGACAGACTTGGGTCTGATGTAATAAAAAATTTCCTAACAGTTAGAATTAACCAAAAATGGAATAGGGCTTGATAAGTCAATTTCCCCTCTTTGAAGATCTTCAGGCAAGGGCTGGATGTCTATTTACTGATATGCTATAGAAACTATTTTTGTTCAGGTGTTGGGTTAAACTAGAAGGCCTCTGAAAGTCCCCCTTTCTAACTTGTAAATTCTATAATTCTGTGAGCTCTGGGCTGGAAGTCATCAGAACTGGTTTACCATCCCAGCTCTGATACTAACTAGTTGTATGGCCTTGGTACAGTCATTTAGCCTCTCTTCAGCCTCAGTGTACTTTTAAAATGAGAGTTATTTTTAAAAATAATGACAAAAGTTGTTAGAATTCACTCTGAATATTACTAGATGGAGCTATAAGCTATAAGATGCATATCATTGTAAAAGAAAACTTTTTAAGAATATGATCTTATCTTCATATCACAGGATTTAGAAATGTAAAGCACTAGAAATATAAGACCTTTTTATAGAGGAAACTGAGATACAGAGAGATTAAGTAATTTGTTCAAGGTTATAAAACACGGTCCAGGTGTTCCATCTCTAAATCAGTGCTCTTTGTACCATATTATATAACAGTATTCTTCTGAGAATACCTTTTAAAAAACATTTATACATGAAAAAAGTATTTATATCCTGGCAATTAAATGTGTGTATTTATGTACATTAATGTATTAACAATAACCATTTTTGTTGGCTTAGGAGGACTGTTGGAAGTATTATCTTAACTGAGATATAGATAGGTAAAAATATGTATTCTTTTGGTTATCAACTGAGAGAAAGCCAACTGGTGTTAAGCATGTAGTAGGTGATCAGATGTTGTGGGCTAAATGATGAATTACTAGAAAATGATTGTTCACCAAGCCCAGAACATCTACTCGAAGGGAACCACAGAGGCCAGTTAGATTCCCTGTAAAAAGATAAAGGGAAATGAGATACTTGCCCAGGGTAACACAATAGCTAAAGTGTTAGTTGGACCTAGGTCTTCCTGATTCTAGGTCTAGTCCATGGTGCTTTTCATTATGCATAATTTGGTTTATTTTAAAAAAAAATTTAAAGATATAAAGGGTGTGGGTTACAAAAACTGGCCTTTCCTCCCAATTTTATTTTTGTAATCCCCCCACCCCTTTGGGGCCTTCCTGTTTCTAGAACTAGATAGTTCTTCTTGAATTCATTAATATAATTTTCATCATTAGAACATATTATCTGGAAAGATTAAGTTTAAAGTAATATTTGATGTCTATAAAACTATTATAGTTATGAGCAGGTTGAGTCATAATAAATTTAATAATAGTAGAATTAGTGGGCGTTTGATGCTTCTTAGGTACAGTTTTATACAGCAAGTGGTTAATTCATGAAACTCATAAAATCTCTTCCAAGCTTAAAAATATAAATAGGCTTAAGAAAGATGAAAATAAATTCGTAGATGGAATCATAATGAGTTTTTAAAAGAAGCTAGGGATGTTTGAATTTCATTGATCTTTTAATGTAGACATCAAAGAGTATAAAGAGTATGATGCTTCTAACAATAATCTGCCGCTTGGTACCAGTGTCAGAGACAGAAAATATTGACTAAGTTGGGCCAGTGGTTTAACTTGTTAAGTTCGTAAGTTATTTTTCTTTTATTCATGAATAATTCAAGTTAAACAGATAATAAGTTGATTGGAAAATATTGATCCATTTCAGGTTTTTCCATCCAGCTCACCATCAAATACAGTATTTTCCTATCAGAGACCACCTGTTACAACAGTCCAGCAGGCATTCATTAATAACACATCCAGCAGTGTTCTTCAGTCCAGGAATACTCAGGTTCCTTCAGTGCAAAATGGACCTAGCACTACCAACAAGGTAATCTTGTGTTTGTTATATAGCAGTGCCTACACTGAATACATTTATTTGAGAATATAATCCCTTACTGCAAGTATGTATGTCTACCATAACTTTGTACTTCTATTAGTATGAAATAGTTAAACAGGAAGAAGGAAAATTATAATTGGTAATTGGTATACTTGCCCCTAAAAATAATTTTGCTAGAATCTACTTTTGCTGTCTACTTCACAGTGTTACATTGCGCAAAGGAGAAGCATTCTTTGTTAGCATTATTTGGCTGTTGTATTCACTGTTCCTGGTGAAAAGTATGCAGGAAGAGTACAGATTTTGGTATTATGGTAATATATTTCTCAACTTTGTTTGGCATAGCCTGGTTCTCCATCTCGGCCTCAGCAGTTTATCATACAACACTCTGTATTTGGCAACACAGTCACCAAGACGAAAGATCCTCCCCGGTATGAGGAAGCCATAAAGCAGACTCGAAACATACAGTCATCTTCACAGTCAGAGGTAAGAAAAGACTAGTTACGATTTTTCAAGACCGAGTATAAATTAGCAACTTATAAAACGTATCCAGAATGAAGTAAGACTTACACTGTGCCCTGCCCAATACCATAGTGATTCCTTTGAATCAGGTGGATCTGCCATGCCAGGAACAAAAAACTTTCATTATTATTTGTGAATTATAAGCAGTAAAATTAATAATTAGTACTAATTCAAATCTGTATTGGAGTTGAAATAATAACACTAGATTTGTGCTCAAAAATTAATAAAGTTCATTGCATTTCTTTTCCATTTCCTTTGAAAATTCCAATCTTTTGTTTAGATTCCTCTTCCTCTCAGAAACCTTCCAGCATTGTGGTTCTGTTTATTCATTGTGTCAGATTAAAGTCAGTTTGGCATGCAAGGATACTTATTACCTGGCCCTACCTTTCCTACTCAACCTCAGCAAGGCCTTTCAGCTTCCAGGCAGTTACATTGCCCTCACATCTTGTTCATTCCACCTCCTTCCAAGTTTTTGCTCATGCTCACCTGCAGTGCTTATGATAATCCAAACTTCATACTTAAACACTGAGTTCCATTTGCCTTTATGAACTAACTCAAATCCACCATGACCTTTCTTCTTTTAATTCTGTCAACATTTATATATTTATATGCTACTTATGTCTTTATATCTATATGCATGTATATTTCCCATTACATAATTTCTTATGTGTCTTTATCTCATGTATGTTGTTTTATCTCCCCAATTAAATTGTAAGTTTGATGAGGTTATAGAGACTTGACTTTCTCTATATTTACAGAATAAAGTTTGAAAACCGTTCTGTGTAAAAGCTTTTTTCATTCTGGACTTGGCAGAGAAACCTTCCCCAAACATGTAAAGTCTTGGTCAGGATGGAGACAGCCAAATTTCAGATGTTACCTTTACATATGCACAGCAAGCATCCATACATAGGATGTTGGCCTAGCTCTGTCGAGAAATTAACAATGTTATACTGTCATAAAGAAAAACTATTATGGGGTAGCCAGTTCGTGCAGTGGGTAGAGCACCGGTCCCTGAGTCAGGAGGATCTGAGTTCAAATCCTCCCTCGGACACTTACTAGCTTTGTGACCCTGGGCAAGTCACTTAACCCTGATTGCCTCTCCCTCTCCCCATGCCCCCCGACCAAAAAAAAAAAAAGAAAAGCTATTATAATTTTAATTATATGGACAAAGATAAAAGATAATTATATGCCTAAGCTTTAGCAGCAAGCAGGAAGCCAAAATAGTAGTTGTTCTAATGTTTGAGTTGGTTTCTTTTTAATTATATCTGTTGGATATTTCTTTTGGGCAGTAGGTTGTATACAAGGAAGATGAGAGGGAAGAGTTAGGGTACAGCAAAGAGGGAAAAAGTAACTGGAAGGCAAGGACAGTCTCAATGAATTTTCCTTTGAGGGACAGTGAAGACATGTTGGCAAATAGATCGCATTAGTTTGCTTCTCCTTTGGAAGACTCCTGGTCTACTGATGTTGTCATTGGGGTTACTCATGCTGTTGCTGCTTTTTCCCCATTGGTGCTTTGTAAGCAGTTAATAACCCTTAGCTTTTTTTTTTTAACCTTAGTTTTTGTTGTCTTGTATTAAAGCCAATAGATAGAATTTCTACTGCATTATTACAATAAACCAAATAGTGACAAGGGCATAGAAACGTAGCATTCGGTTTTGTTGAATTCAGTTCTGAAGCGTAGATGAATGTAGGATGTTCACTGCTTAAGTAAATGATCACCAGAAAAACAAAGTATGGGCCACTTTGGCTTAAGGGGTGCTGATAAGAACACCTGGATTTCGGTTTTTCAGAATCAGTATTTACATAGTGGAGACAAAGTTCAGCATCAGTTCTCTGTCATTGATATATGCTAAATGAGTGCAGTGCTCCAGTAGTCTGAGGTAGTTGGTTGTATATATGTGTTTTTGTCTTTAAATTCATATACTCTAATCACAAGCTGGCAGTTAAATGAATTCTTTGGAAACACTGAAAATATGCAGAGTTTCAAGTGAATTAAAGTGCGGCATTGGAGTTTCTTGATTATATATGCAATATAACAACTCCATATTAAAATTTTTGAAAAATATGTTTGTTTCTTTCAATAGATTGCTCATTTGAAGATAACTGGTCTGAATGGCACATGTCATTAGTTTAATTGTGGGTTTTAATGGCTGCTGTAGATAATATTACTTATTCATTACAGTTTGCTTATAAGGGAAATTCACATCTAGTTCATGTTCTGAATATCAAGTAAATAATGAGGCAGATATTATAAAGCAGTACTTTCCCAGAAACCTTTTTTTTTGCATGACTTTATGGCATGTGCATAAAATTTGTTATGAAATAAAGTTTTATTAGATAGTCTAATGAAAAATGATGCCGGCATTTTATTGAGTATCTCATCTCAGAATCATGAAGAACACTAGAAGCTTGATAGTGAGATCCCTTCCTGTCAAATCTTATTCAGGCAGGTAGCACGAAGCAAATGATACACACCACTCTAATGCATGGGGAAAAAAAGCATAACCGCTTGTTTAGAGTTGCGGCTCGTGTCTGAAAAAGGAAATGGGTAATTCTGACATTTAAGGAACAGACTAATTCTTTGGTCACCATACCACATGTATCATGCCCCTGGAGATGCGATCTCAATGTCTTTCTGTTCCTTTCCACCCCTTGCCTCCTTTGTGCTGCTGTTCTCTCCACAGGGCAAAGTAGAAAGGGAAAAACTTGCTAGCAAATGTGTGGAAAGAAGCAGAAAAGCTCTAATTTGAGGACATATTTTCCCAGAAGTCCTTAAAGCTATAATTCTCAAAACAAAACTCCTAAACCACTATAAAAATAGCAGTCTTACTAGAACTAATAGAAGCAGCTAGGTTTGACATAGCACTGAGCTAGGAGTCAGAAGACCTGTCTCCTAGACTTAATTTCTGGCATTAACCAGCTTTGTAACTTTGGACACTTTTCTTCATCTTCTCTGAAACTCAGTTTTGTACTCTACCAAATAAGGCAATCTTTAAGTATTCTATAGTTTTTTTACATGGCTTCATTGATTCTTTATGAGAAGGAAATTAATCTTTATTTTTTTGTTATAGATTTCCAATGCACATAGTCAACAGATGGATGACCTCTTTGATATTCTCATTAAAAGTGGAGGTAAGTCAAAAGTTTCAATAAAATATGTGCAAGAAAAGAATTTGGATGTTTGTAGTTCTCTCAGTGAGAAACAGGAAAATACTTTAAATTTGTCACTTTTGAGACTATTGAATATATTAATACAGTAAAATTCAAAGTTTTTATATAGCTCACAGTTCACCTTTTGGACTGCAAACATAATCTTATAGGTATAATGGAACTAACTCCTTATTGTTAGAAAATATATTAATGTTAAAGCACTAAAAAAAAGTACTATTAATGATAGAGGCAACATTATTCACAAATCTACATGTTAAAAAAAAAATAATGGTAAAATGGCAAATTGGAACTGGATGAACAGTTTTCAAAATCTTTTTTTGGAAAAAATACCAAAGTCATCATATGAGTCCAAAAGAATAATAAAGGAACTTAAAATATTATTCCACAATGTCTGTAAGTGGGTTAAACTAATATGTCTCTAGTAATGTTAATACAGTACAAATGCAGTGCTAAAGTTCTGCATATAAAAAACATAAAAATAGGTCATTATTTTGTTACGATTCTTTGTAAACCTGAGAATTCTAACTAAAGCATTTCTTCAAAGAGGTCATGTGACTTCTTTGCTTCAGTTGCTATAGTTGTACAATTAGTATAATAAAATTTCCATTATAAAGATTGGAATGTTTCAGAGGATTCTGAAATACTGAGGCAAACAAAGTTTAGGAATATTATTAGAAATAAGAAAGATTAAGAAATTTCACTACATACACATGCAAAAATATTGATATTGAGGTTGATATTTCATTTGTAATGTTTGACACACACAGGGCATTACTGAAACTTGACAGCATAACTACATATATAAATAGTTTTAGTTCATGAACTATACTGACTTTAAAAAACAGATTAAATTCATCTTATGCCTAAGCTACCTTAGAAAATTAATTCCAACTTGAGAAATTAAAGAAATTAGGTATTTCATGCTTTTATTTCAGGAATAAAAAACCAAGTAATTAAGTCAGCAAACATTTGTTCAGGGCCTACTGTGTGCTAAGGCCTAGCAATGTGCTAATTAAGCACAGAAACTATAAAAAAGGACAATTATAGTAGTCCTTACTGTCAAGGAATGAGTTCATGGTCTAACAGAGGAGACAACATGAAAACAACTTTATCTACAAATAAGATACATATAAGATAAATCGGAGATAAACAACAGAGTTGGCTGTTAAGGGGGGAATTGAGAGAGAATGAAGAATAGCTTCTTATGGATGGTGGGACTTTAGTTGGGCCTCGAAGGAATACAGAAGGTGGAGTTGAGAAGTGAGAGAATTCTAGGAATGGAGGATGACAGCCAGTAAAAATGTCTGGAGTCAGGAGATGGAGTGTTTGTGCAAGAAATAGCAAAAAGGCCAGTGTCACTTGGTTGCAGAGTATATGGAGGAGAGAAAAGTGTAAGAAGACTGGAAGGGTAGAAGCAGGGCAAGGTATGAAGGGCTTTGAAGGCCAAAGAATTGATCTTTTGTCCTCCTGGGAGGCAAGTAAAAAGAAAGGAAAGGGGCCATTTTGGAATTAGAAACATTTTGGGGGGCGGGGTGTTGGTTGAGGTTCGGGTAGATTCCTCACTTAAATGAAGACTTTTTGATAGTAAAATGTCAATTGGGCATGTTACATTATGTTGTCAAAACCACCAATAATGAAAGTGCCTATGATTAAAATGGTGGATTTTATAGAATGTTCTCTAGAATTTCAACCACATCCTTAAATCTTATGGCATTTGTGCTTTTCAAAACAGTTCTAGGGTTGACTCCAGACAATGAAATAAACATGAATTACACAAATTAGGTTGTATGCAATGATATTATAAACAGTCTTGCTTTACTTAGTAATCTGAGCCATTAAATACAATTTCAGTCCATCCACATTGGATATTATGAAATGTTGACATCCATAAGATATATGAATTAACACAAACTATGTAACTCAGATTCTCAAATGAAAGAGTACAATTTTTTATTCAGTGATATTCAGAGAAATGGGAGTGGGTACTGTGTAGCAGATGGTACACTAAAATGCCACATGACCTGACGTCATGATTAGTGTTTGGCAAATCATTGCCAAATCTTCAAACTTTTATGTAATGTCAGAAAACAAGCAAAAAAGTTGAGTCAAACAAATGATCAGCCTCAAAGAAAAGGGTAAAATGCATAATGTGTCACATGCCCTCTTGACTCTATATGAGAACTGTACAAAATAGAATAAATTATATATGTTGGTGCTTTTCTTAAAAGCAAAACGCAGAGATGACAGATCAAATCATGTTATGATATTAACCTGTTTGGCAAATGAGGGGAAAAAACATGTAATGCAAATACTTTCTTTGTAACATAAGCTAAAAGAAAGTACTTTAATGTGTTTGGATCACTGCCCTGCCTGTGCTTTAAAAAGATTTAATGAAAATAATTTTTAAGATATCAGTACTTGTAGAATAGGCAAATTAATGATGTAATTAAAACAAAAACTTCAATCGTAGTTCTAAGATTTTAGGCCTTCAGCTTTAAAAGAGCTAACACACACACACACACACACACACACACACACA